CGATTGTCTATTCACCTTGAAACCACAACCATCCCCAGAACTATCGTTTCCACGGGAGCTTCGCTGTTGTCTCGTGCTATTGGCGACCGCGAATTCACACGTATGTATATACAGAGTCCCACTGTAAACTCACGCGACCCTATATTTCCGAGAGAAGATCAGAGTTTTGGGCACCGATGTGTCGTCTTTGGCTTAGAACGTTTTCCTCCTGTTCGATAAAAGCCGCAGCTCCGTTTCCGCGGAAACAGGCCGTGTTTTTGAAGAATTATTCTCCTCGTACTTGTAACTGAATTTTAGCGACGTTTTGCAACTCTTCTCGCGTTCTTCCTTGCTTCGAAGAAGCGCGGGGGTAGAAACATCTTTGGAAGAAAGCTGGAGGATTCGAGTGATCCTTTGCGGGGGAATTGTAAAGATATAGTGGAAAGTGAATGTGCAGAATACATGCAAGCAATTTTTTCCGTTTATCCCGGAAGAAATGCGGAGAAGGTGAGTGAATACTTGTGAGAAACGAGGGTAGACAATGTGTTGGAAGTTTAGGCGAGCTTTCGCGTGGAAATTGTAGAAACAAGGTAGAAAATAAATTTGAAAAATAAATGTAAGCAATTTTCAGCCAGTTTCTTATTCTAGAGAGATTGTGGAAGGTTTGTGTAACTATTTTCTTTTTTTTTTTTTTTTTTTTTTTTTTTTTTGCAGAAGTCAGAGTAGAGGAAATTGTGAAAATGGAGCTGTGATCCTCTGCGTGAGAATTGTAGAAATAAAGTAAAGAGGTAGATCGGTAAGAGTTGGAAAGTAAGTTCGAAGATCCGTGGGATTTCGTTGAAATTCATATATCAGAAGACCTATCAGACTTTCGTTCAATCTCTCGAAAGCTGAACAATACAAATGGCTGTTACTTAGGAATATCATATTTTCCGAACGTCTTTATCATTCACCGAAAGGATAATCCTTCTCTTACGATCTCATGAAAGTCGATCGTAAAGTAACCCACAAAAGAATCAGAAACCACCTAATTTTCAAAGTTATTCCGTGGATATAGAACGAAAGCGCGGCGGCAGCGGAGAGAATACCGGAGAGAAAAGAATCTTATTTTTATTGAATCCGCGGGCCACATTGTCGAGTATCGAAACTTTTCTGAAAATCCCTTTCTAAAAGTTTTAACAAGGCATTTAAGACAATACGTTATTCAGCCAAATGCGATACCATTGCGAGGTTGAAATAAATTCCACAAAAGAGGCAAACGCAACATTGTGCCGATAACACAAAAGCAATAATAAAAGCAAACCTGCAAATGAACGTGTGAATCCAGTAACCGCGAACATTCTGCTAGCTGAATCCTTTATAATATTACATAATGCAAAAAAATTCGTATTATACCTCTAGCACAATGAACTATTGTATCCGTAAAAATTCCAAACATACATTTCACGTTTTTACGCCACCTCGCCGCACCACAGTCTCAGACTTTGCGCCGAATTCCATTTAAATACATAATATACAAGGTGTTTGAAAAAAAAAATCTCGACTCTTATATAGAAAATTTGTACATGTACATATTTCCTTTCCTTTCTTCTGTTCTACACTATTCTCTTTCCTACAGTACCGAAAGAAACGTGCTTGAGAATCAGTGTTGCACAAAAGTTACTTCGAATACCGAGTGAAATTTTATTAAAATTCGACTTGTGCTTTTGGCTTGAAGAAAGCAAAATATAACATGCAACACGCTAAAAGAGCGTTCGCCTAGCAGATTATTCCAATGTAAACCCAGGAGGAGGGACGAATAATTGCGAGCGAAGACGAACGCATAAGGCAAGGGAGCAGGTTCAGAAAAATGAGGACCATGCATAGAAATCGTTGGAGATCCCCACGGATTCAAGGGTCAACGACGTTCGTACAACTGTGAGGAACGGGATTGAGGAGGCCAAACAATTTCCCCGCAATGCATCCGATATTAGCGACAGCGGAGAGAAGCACACTGGGACCGATGAATTTCCTGGGTGAAATGGATACGTCGTGCTGGCCAAGCAACCATCTACCCGAATTTATTCAAATCCCTGTCGCTCTGGGCTTCGCGCAGCGGTCTGGCCGCAATAAGTCACCGACTACCCATGGTTTTATGAATAATGCAACGCGAGGGTGACTTCTTCTTTGCGCTTAGCACGCGAGACAAGCGACGAGAGGGCAAACGCAGAAGAGCATAGGTGTGCGTGCTCTTAAGGACCCGAACGAAGCTCGTATCGGTGGCTCGAATGGCGGAAAGGGAGATGAAGATTCGCCCTATTCGCCGGCGTGAAGCGCAGTTGACACACTTTCCAGTCCACGATCGATACGCCGCCCACACCATGGACGCATAAGAAGATCATTGTGGTCTGTGGACCACCGAGAGAGGCGGAGAGAGTGAGTGAGGGAGAGGATGAGAAATGGTAGAGAGGCGTTTAATTCGTAATGGTGTATTCTCTGCGAACGGAACGAGTATCGATCGCGACACGACCGCTGTTGCACTTCGCCGAGTTAATGCAACGACAACGTCGATCATCGGGCACCACTGAATTTTCGAGGCGTCTCCACGTTCTACGATTACGCTACTGTTAACTTAGAACGGAGTTGCGAATGCTCTTTGATCGTCGAGTAGTACTTTGGAAACTCAGGGGGTGAGAAGCTCTTGGTAATGTCGCGTTTTAGTGGATTCGATAATGTGTCTTTGTCCGTTGCCTTCGTTCAGATTGCGGCGAATTTCGGTTACCGAAATTTTCAAGACTTATGGGGATTGAGGCGGTACTTGGTTATTACCGATAACGGTATACCGAGTTACCAAAAATATACGTCGAACGCTTCAATTTTTTTCGCCTAACATCGGTCAACAGCTCAGTCAAATTAGCCATTTAGGTTTGCAGCTTCACGAAAGCACGGTTCACGCTTCAGCTGCGTGAGCAATGTTTTTCATATGTAGAGTGCAGGAAACTTGAATTCAATTTTTAAATTTCATTACTGTAAAGATGACGAAGAATGCAGGAGAGACATTCTAGGAAAATGTATCAATTGCGGAAGAACGAAACTAGTTATCGATGTAATTTTCGTTAGTTAATCCTTATCCACGGAATTATTTTGAAAAAGAAAAACAACGAAAATACAGATGTATTTCAATAAAGAGTTAACACGAACGAAGAGCAAAACGTTGTAGAATAGAGCTTGTTAGAATCCACATTTGCGGAGGCAGTTATGTTGCATGACGTTTGATAGATTGACTGCATTTTGCGTGCGATCTTGATGGATCGCCTGGCTGCTGTCTGTTTTATCATTGGATTCGCCGCGAAGGCGAAGTCTCTCGCGAAAATTCTTCGCCGAACTATATAAAGTCGAAGCGAAGGTGTTGCACCACGTAAAATCCGACTTTAAAACTTCGCATCGCTCTTACGTGAAATCGGCTAAGTTAATAGGACTTGTCGGAAGTTCGCCGTGTGAATAATAGATAAAATCAAATTTAGGTGAATTCAGTCGCTGGCACGGTAGTTCATAGCAACAGAGGTGGTTTAATCGTCTGACAAATTGCTTCAACGTGTTAAAAATACGCCGAGAAGTTCGTCGAGCTTTCTCATCCTTCGAAGATCGTAATTTCTCCATCGAAAATACGAAACTACGCCGCGTCTCTGTTCCGAGACACAAGAAATCCACAACTTTTCTCTAAAAGTTCGACGGGCGTAATAAAAAGTGTTTGGAAAGAAGCTTCGCGGAAACAAGGAGAAACTAAAATTGTCGATAAATTTCAAAGAAGATCCAACGATTTTTCGAGCGTTCCAGCTAAACGACGGGACGAAAATTGCAGCGAACAAGCGCAACGAGGAGCCGAATACGAAGCTACAATCGAAATCGAACGGTAATTCGATTAAATTCACGAACGAGCGAACTCCGTAGGAATCGTTCCCGTTTGTCAGGAGGCTTTAAAGTGGGCAAAGTAATCGGTAATAGTGGTAGCAAAAGGAACCGTGTCGTCGACGAGGATCGTTTGACGTTTGAAAACAAACAGTAGAGCCTTTGACTCGAGCAGCAGAAACTTTATTAATGTGCCGGCGTAATGAGATTTAATCGAAGCTTGCCTTTCGCTCCGAGCGTTCTCAGAAATCCTTTTATGCTTAAATAACTAGCTTCGAAGACTTGGATTCGTTGCATCGTGGTTTGCTCGATCGTCGCTGAATCGCCGTATGACCGACTAATTCAACCACTATATCATAGCGTGTCTTTCCTTTCCGAAATTACCTTCGAATAACGGAGTAATACGCGGGTGTTAAGCAGAGATTAGTCGGTACGCGTTTTCACGCTGTCTTTGAAGTTTAAACGAAAGTTCGTATTCGTAATAAGTGGAAGCTGGTCTTTGACGCAGGATTCTGAGAATCTTCGAGCTTACGGGATCAGAGGTGTACTTGGAATTAGAAACCGCTTTGTACTCGTGAAATAAGGAAACACAAAATGCAATATGATTCTATTTACACATTCGCGAGTTTTAATTTGTACTCGCTGATTGACATTGTTGCGAGCACCGTGTATATACTCATGGCCTGCTGGTGCTCGTTCCGGAATTGGTAAAAGACGGTCGACTCGAGAATATTGATGATTGATTATCGACTCTGTTCTTAACCGAGACTGACTGAGATACTTGTACGATTGTCAATAAATGTTAAGAGGTGTTCGTGTTCAAGTGATTAAGGAGTTTAGTTATATAGATAGTTATTAAATATGCCGAACGAAGGGGAAGCACCGAAGGCAGGTTGCAACAATATAAATTCAGCTCTCAAGTTTTCCCTCTGTTCGACATACATATATATATATCATCGAGTATTTCATCGTTTATACGTAATCGAACGCGTTTTGAGCAGAGAAAGTTAGCCGCTGAACTAACGAACAATTAAACCAACCCCTCAACTCTTTACCCTTGGAGTTCTTTCCGCCTAGAGCGAGTAACGTTAGAAAACTCACCGGTATTCAGAGCCCTCGCTGAGCTGTCTGACCGTAATAGGAAATTCGCTGGGCCCGTGTGCCTTGAGTAGCTCCTGCAGCCGCACCAACCCTTCGTTGTTCTCGTAGATGATGGTGAAGCTCTTCCAGCCCCAGGCTTTCACCAAATCAACGTACGCCTGAAACACAGTAGTCACTTATTAGCTACGAGCGTATCCTGAACGATGATCCAACGTTTCACCGGGAATACTTTGCTTCGTCCCCGGTAATACCGGATTCCCCGAACTCGTTTGCATATACGGGTTTCCTGACGCGATTCAAATTTCAAAGGTGTAATGGACCGTGTGGTGGAACGCGCCGCACCATGCAAATGAGTGCACGTTCAGTTTTATCGCGGTTGATAAATTAGTCGGTTCTCTGGCCGGCTTATATTATACCGATGGTGGATGTTTCGATTTAATAAAACGGCAACTTGTAATTCTACCTCTTACGTCGTATTTTACGTCGGTATGTTAGGTTCGTTCGGTGTTCAATTCCGCGGGAACGTTTAATTTCGCGTGATTATTGCGGGATTTAATGTAGGGGTTGTGCTCGATCGCATAGGAGAGTTTGGAGAGATACGCATTCCGTGAGAAGATCGATTTAGAGTTACAGGACGTATTGAGAAATTAGATAACAGCAAAGAATCAATAGTAATTTTAAGTAAAAAGAGAATAAATATTAATTTTCTCGGTAATGCTAGGAGTTGAATGGAAAATCGATAATGGATCTTCGTTGGTGAATTTTTTGTACTTGTACCACAGTAACAGTCGAGTCGCAATTAAAACGAAACAAGCAGTAGTTAACGGTTCGACGATAAATACAACGTAAATTTTAATCGAAGTTGGTCTCCTTGGCGCCACATCTTGCCAAACTTAAATCGATCGCGGTAATTAATTTCGATGGAGTGGAACGGTCCGAAAGTGGTTGCATCCTCCAATTTACAATTTTCACTTTAGATTCTATTAGAATGTTAGATTGCAATCTGTCCCCGATGAAATATCGACAACGTTACTTATAAATCGAAACCGTCGCGGAAGTTCTATAGACGCCATTATCGCGGCCATGAAATCCCATAAAATATCGCGGTGATACGTTCTATCTTCGTGTTACTGATACTTTTAGTCATATTTCCAACGTGAGCTTCGTTTTCTCTATTACGAAAGGCGGTGATAACCGCGATAAAGTCCGTCGATTTTTCTTGATTCCCCGATCTCACGGGCGGGAAAGATTAATGGTGGAAATGTTAGCAATCACACTCGATGAAGTAGTATATGAAAAGTTATATCCACCGTTACTCGTTATTTCCCATTTTCGAATATTCCCGGAGAATGAATTTTCCGGTGAAGCCAGAATTAACTTGGTAATTCTACTACGACGATAACGTTATACCACGTCTGTTTTTCTAAAACACTGACCTAATTGAAGTTCCAAAGGCCGCATAAACTTTCATTTCGAGGGTACGAAAACTTAGAAGTTGACAAACCCTGTTATACTTGGTGTTCAATGGATTCACCGTGCACTCAACGAAACACGAAAGGTGTAAACTCCTTAATATCTTCCTTGTAGCAGAATTACAACGTCCCAAGGAAACAGCGCGAAGAAAAATCGCGCAACATTTCATCACTGCCGGTTCCCATCGTCGATCACTTCGAATCCGCTACCCTCGGCCGTACTTTTTTCACCCTCGAATAACCGCAACTCCGGAACATCGACGTTTCCACGCCGCTTGAATAAGTTAAACAGCGCTAATGTTAAGTTCGATCAGCAGGTAGAAAAGTCTGGTGAATGGTATGGATCGGATGTTAAGAGAGTTCGGAGCAGCGGAGTGCTATCCTCGCCAACTGTGGCCGCGGATATTTCGAAAGTTAGCAAGGGCACGCGGCGCGTGTTTAGCAGCTATAGATTTTGTATGGTGGAGAACGGGTCGGCCGGGCTTTTACGTGGAAAACGGCTATTACAGCCGGCCACTCTCTCCTCCAATGGCCGAATTGAGCCACGGAAGCAACTTCGCGGCTGAGTTTTCACGAGGATCCGCCTTGGCGGTAACTCGCGTTTCGAAGCTGCTTTTCCGATAATCCGAACTTCCTAAAAGCGCCGCTGTATATTTTCCGGCGAGTAACTTTCGCCGTACTCCGCCTTCCGCCCCTTCTCTCTCTCTCTCTCTCTCGTTTGCTTCCACCTTTTTCGCCTCTCTTCAACCCCTCGCGTCCCTAAGAGGTTATGCTTTCCAGGTTTTATATAGCAACTCTGGGCGCAAGCTCATTTCCAGATTTCACCCGGGCGTCTTGAACGAAGGAAACAAAACGGGGGCTCGAGAGAGCATACAGCGCGACGTATCTAACGATAAATTGAAGTTGGCTTGTTTACGAAACCATTGATTGCCAATACCAGAGGCTGCTGCATCAATCTTTCCGCGGTTCCTGGCTTGTTTCCTGCTAAAACGAGCTTTTTCGACAATCTTGATCCCTTTGATCGGCCGCCTTTCAGATAGCTAAGGGTGCTCCCCTTTATCAAGCCTCGGTATATTCCGCCAAGGATTCTTCAGCAAAGTGCTTTTGAGAAAAACTATGGTAAATTCTTGGACGTCGTTATCATACATGTGGTAGTCGTTGTGAGATAATAGTGATGGTTAACAGGTTCTAGGTTTTGCCAAGCAGCAACGAGGAAGTTTAATCGTTTATCCTACCACTTTTTTCTCAGTTTTCTTTTTTTATTTAACGATACTATTAAATCCTTCATTTTCCAAAACTTTATCTGACGTTTCTGTTCTGTCTCTTTCGATAACTTAATTTTTATTTTACAATAATTCTAATTCCACACCTTTCGCGCAACTGTTACTTTCTTCGTTCACTGAACAAAATTTCAAATTTTCGTGGAAACGAACGAGTCACCGGAACGACGAACAGGAAAGCGATGATTTCACGCACGGAGGCAATTCTTGCGCGTTTCCGATCGCTGAGCTAACGCAGCCAATTCCGGAGCCGATAATTAGGAAACAAATTAACGGAATGATATCTCGAAACGAGACAGTTGTAATTTTGGAGAACGGCCAGAGCTTTCGATTAAAAATCCTCGCCGACGAATGTACGACAAAGGGGGCGAGTCGTAAATCCGATCGTTTAATGAACACGATACCGCGGGGCTCGTGTAACGAGTATTAAATTCCCCGGTGTGTCTATCTCGTATCGTTTATTTGAGTTATCATTACACCGGAGGTAATAACCGGAGAAGTGAATTGGCACGGTGCTGTTTGAATGAAAGCGATCATTAAATTACCAAGAAAGGAAAGATTAGCCGATCTATAATGCTATTCGAAGCATCCTCGTAATACAGAACTACCGTTTCCATTCGATACTTGGAACAGATCCGGACTTGGAAGGATCCGGTTGAGATGTTCAAAGAATGAGCTTTGAGTGATTGTACGAGTGCACGAAATTCACTTCGCGGAGAAACTTGCGCAAAGTTTCAGGTCGCCTGAGCGGTTCCCCTGAAGTCAAGCAGGATGGAGAAACAAGCTTTGAGAGTTTTCAGAGAATGTACGGAGGACAGCGTATTTAATCGATAGAACGAGCAATATGTACACTTGTACTATCAAAGGGTATTGCTCTTTCAACTAAATTGTATCAAAATTACAATTTCCACAAATACATCGTTCTCAAAGGGTTGATTTCTAACATTTAACTGGTCATTCTTCCAATTAGAATGAAACTTTCAGAGACAGAAACCACATCGAAATATCATACGAGAACTTCTTCAATTTAATCAATCGCTAATTAAAAAAAACTCCCAATTCCTATAAACCAGCGATTTCTTTCGCGAATTTGCAGAAATGCGAATACCAGCGAAGCTAGCATCTGGTGCAGCATCCCCCGGCGTTCTCCAACATCGAATCTTTACGCAACGAAGCGAGCACGCGCACACACACGAGCTCGTGAAAGCGTTTCGTGGTCTGAACGCGAGACTTACCCAGATTTCGCCGACACAAGCGCGGGGGATTAATATCGCATACAGCATGAAGATCGTGCGCGGCGACGATACGGAATGACAAACGCGAGCCTGCGCGGTTCAAAGAGCGTTCGTGTAGCGAACGGACTGGTAAGGTGAGAAAAAGGCGGGAAAGAACGAGACGGAATAAATTGGCGGAGGATCGGGATTGTTCAAGGGCGTGCAACGTACCGTGCGTCTCCTATAATCGTAGGAAATAGGGTTGTAAACAAAACTATGCCCGGCATTTCTGCTCGAGTGTTGTCCGGCTTTCGCGTATCGCGACCGGGGCCGCCGCGCCGGCCAGTATGCGAAAATCGTGAATCGCCGTGGTCACGTTTTCCCCGCTCTCGATGGAGGCTGTATTTCCGCGCTGGTAACTTGGTAGACCGATATCGATGCTGCCGGTTAATTTACCTTTCGCTGCTTTAAACGCTATCGTTCCGGACGGATTGTAGGATGGCCCGCGAATTATTTGAACGGGGTTTGTTAACGCGGCACTACAACAGGAGAGCGTTCCTCTCGATCGCTTCGTTGCAGTTCTCTCGTGATCTGGTTTCGTATGTAGGTTACTGGTTTCCAACGATTTATCCACTTCCTTCCTTGCTTCTGCGTAGGGACATTAAACGTGCATTGTTGAGATTAATCATCTATAACGTTACGGGGCTGCAGTGTTACGTACTTATACGCTTATGGTTTATCATTCTCAGCTTGTTTGCCGCTTTTCGGGAAAATCGACGGAGCGTCGAAAATGCGGAAATTAGATTGTGATGTTATTAAATCGAGTGATTAATTTCAGAGGGAAACTAACTTTTAATTTTTAGTGTTCCAATGTTAATCTTCTTTCACCTGCAAAATTTCAGTTTTCAGACTCTGTTCGTATGTGATAATTAATAATGAATATTTTCCCTCAGAAGCAGCAAATATCAGGTTATATTATCCATATATAGCTAATCCATTAATTTCGTTTCATCGAACAATTTCCCCGGCAAACATACTCTTCTTTTTCCACAGAAGCATTGTTCCTTAGCAAGTTTTTGCTGCCACTGAATATAGGAAAAAAGGGCGAGCAAAAAGTTGGGTATCTCCCTTTTGTTCAAAGTTCCACGCGAAAAGCATTACCTGCGACAGGCTGAGAAAGAACACAGACTCC